GCCCTGGCTGGACAACTTGTCCCAGCCCCAATCCCTCCCTTGCTGTGGGGGCACTGATCTGCCCCCTCCATGTCCCTTCCCTCCCCACTCCACAACAGACTTACCAGCTAGAGGCAGCTGTGTCCAGCTTGATTGAGCATTGCTGCCTATTTAGTTTATGGCTGAATCGGTGCCAAATCTCTCCAAATTGATTTGGAAGCTTCCAAATTGATTCAGATCTTTTAATGGGTCTCCCAATTTGAATTTGGAGATTTGGCCATGGAATTGGGCCAAATCTCCTCTGAATCGAATTGGCTGCCAAAGCTTCACACAGCCCTACTGCCCAGCCCTTGTGGGGTCCCTCCTCACTATGTGCTAGCTGGCCCCTGCAGGGGGGGCCTGGCCAGCCTCCCTCCACAGCATGCTGGGTGCCTGGCAGGCAGATGATCAGGTTGCTCCCAGCTGCTGCCTGCCTGACAGGTATACTGAGGCAACTCAGCATACACTGGTCAAGCTACTTGCACACAGCTCAAAATGACTCAGCAGGCCCTAGCCAGGTACCATCCCCTTCAGCATGCAGGGTTTCTAGACAGCACGTGCCAAGTTACTCAGGTGTTTCTCAAGCAGCAGGTGCTAGACCAACCCAGCACACAGGGACTTGACCAGGCTTCCAGCATGCACGTGCTAGTCAAACCTCACATGCTGTGGGAAAAGTGCCTGGCCAGCACCTGCCAGCTCATTTGGAGCAGCATGCATGGGGTTTCCAACCAGAAGGTGCCAAAGCAACTCAGCCCATGTTGACAGGCAGCAGCTGGCCAGGAACCCTGCACACTGAGGGGAGCTTGGGCACCTTCTGGTGGCTGGCCACATGCATTTTCTGGTTTCAGGTAAACCATATGCAATCATAAGATAAGCCTTGATATTCCGCATGTTGAATGTGGGGGCTCATTTTATATTCAAGTAAATACAGTAATTCTTGGTTTTATGGATTATGCACAAAACAAGAAAACAACGGTTGGCTTTTACTGGGTTGGCAAGATGAAAGTTGACAATGAAGGTTTCTGAATTATTGCAAAAATGTGTTTTGCGAAAGAGCTGAAATACAAAAATAAATAAATTAAAAAAAAATCAGATGCTGCCAGGGCTCTAATCTACAATTTAATCCAAGATGCATCCAAACAATACACCAAAGCTTTCTCCATCCAGAAGTTTTCAATGTGTTGCCATCTACTTTTGAGAGACTCAATCTTGAGTCTCACTTAACAACTGTATTTCAGAACAATGCCTACAAAAAGGACTTAAATAAGAAAAAAAGTGCACAGGACTAATGGATATTCCCAGGATGTAAATAAAATGTGTACACCAATCTCTTTAAAGTTTTTTAGTTGATCATTCACTCATCCTGCAGCATAAATGACAGAACATGAACAGTGTATATTTAGGGATGAAATGTGCCAATAGAAATTACAAGAGGCAGAGAGTGACCTATATAAAGAATTACTTTATATAGTTCATACTCTCATCATAAAAGAGAAAACAGGGTTCACGTAAGAAAGTAGAGAGTAACTTCTTTCACTTCACTCCTCCTCTCCTAAGAAGAAAAATTAGAATCTTCTTTTTCATCATTCTTTTACCAGTCTCTAAATACTGTGCTGTCACTAAGCATAGAACAATGTAGACTTACTCTTCATGCTCACAAATAATTATAAAAGGAAAATGGTTCTTTTTGAGTGAAAAAAGTATTATGTGAACTCCTGTAGCATAGAAGTAATCTCCTGTAGCATAGAAGTAATTTTTCTGATAATCAGGAAATAGCTGGAAAAACTGGATGAGTGCACTAAAATATAAATAAAAGTATAAAAGGTGCACAGAAATATATCTCACTCCAAGAAAGAAATGCATTTTAAAGTTGATTTACTCAAAAAAATATAGCAGGATCCCATACTCTTCCTTCCATTTACTGTCAAATATATAGACTTAGACTATATATAGTGCAGACTTCTTTCCCAGTGTTCACATATTTTCTGGGAAATGTAGCCAATATCACAGAACAGCAAATCATTTAAGGGAAATTTTCAGTGTTCTGTTTTCTTAATTCTGTATCCAACCTGTAGGTATCATTTGATCTCAGTGGAAATGGATTTTGACAGTTTCATCCAGGAAAGCTATAAGTGATACTGTCAAAGAAAACAGGTTTGTCCTTTCAAAAAGGCAGAGAGGGGAAACTGCAAGTGTTTGACTTATGCCCATGCTGTGAAGGAGGCTGTTCTCTCTCTCCGAAGCAAACATCAAATGTTTTGAAAGTTCAAGGATCCACTCCTAAGATCCTAGCAGCCGGTAAAGTTTGTTAGCGTAACAGAGAAATCAGCAGCAACTACAAAAAATAAATAAGCAGAGGCTGAGGACAGGAGGCTAAAAACTACTACTATTTCTCAATTTCCTGTAGCTAGACCCAAATAGCTGAACCTTTTAAACTTGTCTTTCCTTCTTTGCCCTCCCTCTAGATTGTATGGAAGGGGAGTGGGATGCATGAAAAATGTAAAACTTATAAAGGGACAGCTGAAATCAGTTTTCTGCACTACCCTTTGATTAGCTGTTCCCCAGCTCTGAAAGCCTGAAGCTATAAAGAACTAAAAACCAGCCATAAACAATGGACGCTTTGCATTAGCTTCTCTTTATGTGTCATGCAAAAAGAGATGTGTCACATGTCAGCAGTAACTAGCCACATAGAGGGTCAGCTGGAATTTGTAATTCTCTCCTAGAAAGAAAACTGGTAACTAAAAACAGTTCCAAAACTGTTAGGAAATTACATCTTGAATTCCATATTAAAGTCAAGATATCTGCTAATTGAGCAAATAAAATATCTAAGCACATGAACGCCACGTGTCCCCGGAGGTTGGGTGGGGCACGGCAGGCTTCCACAGGTGGAGGCAGTGCTGGCAGTGGCAGGAGCATGGCAGAGGCAAGTGGGGAGCTTCCACAGGTAGCCACAGTGCTGTTGGTGGTGCGGGGGGGGAGGAGTGGCCGGTGCCGACCAATGGTCAGCAATGATCCATAGACACTGCTGGCAGCATCAGCAGTGGCCAGCAGTGATTGTGGACCACCCGCAGATGCTGCCAGCAGTGTCAGCGGTGAGAGGGGTGGTGAGTGGCGGCAGTGCCTTTTCTCAGGGGGTGCACTGCCACGCTCAGGGGGTCGCCAATGTCTAAGCATGTTTGAACATATGGTGCATCATAGGAGAAGGGTGTACGCTGGGGCTCCATCATGCCAGGAGAAAAGCACTGTGGCCTAATCCAACAGAATACAGCAACCTGACTGCTCAGTAGCCTGTAGGGTCAAATCTCACTTACTGAGACAATTCATTTTGATGAAAAGCAAATATTCCTAATGTAGTAATTTAGATCCCCCTGCTGCTGATCCCATTCTGCAAAAGCACTACTGGAAGGGAATGATTCAATTTCTGCTCTACTCAGGAAATACAACAAAATCACTATATCCTTCTATATAGGGACAGGGCATCCATTTTGAATAAATTACCCATCTGATAAAATCCTGTCTTGCAATTAAAAATATTCTTGCTGACAGTGTCCTATTGAAGATCCCAAACTTCACTGTGCAGGATCAAGACCTAAAATCTGACTTACTCTGGTAATCCCTAGCAACCATTTTAGGAAGGAAAAGAGGCAATGTTTGGAGATAAACAACTGAAAAATGGTAAGAAAAATGGTCATTTTGATTAAAGAGCATGAGGAGAAGTAAACATTTAACCAAAAATGGCAGTAGAATGGGCAGGGATTTAAACATTAGGCAGACCTTATGGAAAGCTTCAAAACATGCTAAAGAAATTCTGTTATAGACCCTATTTCTGGCACCAGTTACAAGATCAGAATTAGAAATAGAAATGTACCCACCCTTCATTTTTTCACATCTTGTAAGGCCACCATCCCCCTTGACCACAAGTTTTCAGTTTTGATTTCTGTTTTATTTTGTTTCAGTAACCCATGGTTCAGCAACCTGTGGCCCACAGGCCAGATCCAGGCTGCAGAACATTTGGTCTGGTCCACAGACATGGGACTTCAGCAGCAATCACTTCCTCATGGCACAGCAGAGAAAAGCATCAGTGATGGCTGGGTCTTAGTGCCCTTCTACCTCTGCACCAAACTGGGGCAATCTGGCTCACAGCCTTGGAAGGCTGCTGACCACTGCAATAACCACTAGGTATAACAAACAGTCAGGTTCTCCACAAACATTACTGAATACTGCAACATTCATACTATTTGCTTAAGTTGATAACCCCAGTAAAACTAAATAAACTTGTAAGTGTACTCGCAAGTCATGATTAAAAAAAAAATCAAGTGAAGATTTTTGTAATAAGAGGAAGAGCATTTTACAGGAGAAAGTTGCTGGCAACTAAAGATTTCAGCATTGTCTAGGAGATATCAGCAGTGCTAACTCTTAGGAATTTCAGAGCAGCAGGGAAAACATCAACTCATGGGGCACAACTTACCTATATAAATCTCTTCCTACATCATCTTGGTTAACTGCATATCCTGTATCATCAGTAAAACTAAAGCCAGTCCCAACCTAATAAAGACATAAAAATGCATGAAATTGAAGAGGTAAATGTCTGCTTCTAGCTCTATAATGTACTTGTTATCACATAGCAAAATAAGGTTCTGCCAAGCATGTGTTTTCTCTAAAACTAGTACAAGCCTTTAAACTGGAAAGAGTCAAAGGAATTTAAATAAGAGTGAAATAATTTCGATCCTTTTTACAATAATACAGTTTTTAAAGCATATCTAGTAAAATCATTTGTGAATTTTAGACAATGAATTAAAGGATTATACTACATTCATCACAATACAGCATGAAGAAAATCTTTCAGAACCAAAGTGATGTGACTTACATTTGTCACATGTGGTCCTTTCTCCCTTTCACTACCCAGGAAAAAAACATGAGTTAAAATAAAGCTACTCTATTAGGCCACAGAAGTAAACAGTCAGAAAAAAAGCCAGATTTTTAGAACTAGAGGCATGAATTTGTGAATGCAAAGTGTATGTCTATTTAGTATCTGAAATTGGAATGAGGCATACATATGCAGTTTTATACGCACATGCAAATACACACTACATATGATTCAGAAACTCACTTATGTCTAAAGAACTAATTACCACAAAAGTGTTTTAAAAAAGATCTTGAAAGAAGCAGTGTTGTGTAAACATAGTTACTTAAACATACAAAGCAAGAAATCAATATTTATTTTTTGTACTTACTGGATTGTCAATATAAAGCATGGAAAACTTGGATATCCAAGGAAACTTTCGTTCAGACACTGTTAACAGATAAAGTATTGCAGTTAGCCATTACTGCTTTTTAAAATAATTTAATCAACAAGTTTTGCTATGAAAAAACCCCACTAGTAAAAGCTTCTACTGCTTATCTCCATCCTAAATCAAAAGTTAAATATGTTTCTATAACTCATTTGGACAATGTGTTGGAAGTAACATTAATACCATCAATCTGTTTACAAAAAGAAGTTAAAAAAGAAATGTGGCAGCTACCAAACCTTGCCAGTGGACACATCCATATGAGATACTTAATGCATAGGACTAAGTACAGACAAAAAGCCCGAAGCTGAATCGATTCAGTCTTTCAAATTAATCTAAACTGCAGAGATTAAACTGAGAAACAACTGGACCCACATTTACTTTTGATTGATTCAGGAAATGCAGCCACATACCTACAGTGGCTCAGGCCAGAAACTGGGGGGCATTAGAGCACAGCTCTCTGGCATATAGCCAGTATGGGCTGTGTGTTCAATTCCTCTTCCTGCTGCCCCGGAGGTCTCTGGGATTTGTAGTCCAGAATCACAAAAGCAGGACTCTGCAGGGTCACTCATCACTTCCTCCTCCTGCTTCCAGGTACCTCTGGGATTTGTAGTCCACAGTCGCAGCCAGCAGTAAGTTTCAATAAGTTTAGCAGCCAGGCAGCTCTGTACTTGGGGGAAGGTAGGTTTAACCCCCCTCCCTGACCCCAGCTAGGGTTTGCCTTCTCTGCTGGAGCAGACAGCCCAGCCCAGGGCTGGAAAGCATGCTGGCGGGCTGTGATTTAACTTGAAGCAGGAAGGGGTCTGTAACAGAGGTTTCATACACTTGTTTGACCTAAATTAGTTAAGTCTGATACTACATCCAATCAGTTTTATCTTCAGCCAGTTTCAGCCATTTTGAAACTGGTTTATGTACACTGAACTTCTGTTCTGCTACAGGTGTAAGCCAGTTTCTGATTACTTAAGTGGCTTTATGCGTAATTTTTGTCCCAAGCCCAGAAGACTAATTCTACTGCAGGTTAGGACAGCTGGTGAAAACCGTGCTAATGCACAGTAGATTTAATTTAATGTGCATTAATGTCACTTAAAAAGCATTAATTTGCGCTAATGCACAATAGCACTGATTACATTGCAATAATGTGCTTTATTTATGGTGCATTAATGAATATGTAGATGTAGAAACCTCCTCCAGTCTGGCTACAATTATAAACCCTTTGAAAAATCAGAAGTTTGCATATGGACAGCAGAAACTTTATACAATACAGCAAATAAATCTCTCTGGAGTTTCTATTCTTGCTAAGAATGCTCTAACTTTTCTTAGCACCTAATGCTGACCAGACTGCATGTGAACCATGCTATACACCAAATTACGTGTGTGACACTGAAAGTGCAGAAGAGAGAGAAACAATTCCATGACCAGCAGTATGCAATAAAGAGCATTGTTACAGAAAAATTAACTCTTTCAGAATTCACAAATACAAGCAATGTTTACAGCTGAAATTCTGATCAACAACATATGGTCCGTGTTCAACAAAAATTCCAAACATGCATGTACCTCCTGGTCCTCCTTGGAGCCAAAGTAATACAGGAGCATTCTCTGGCTGTATCTATATGGAAAGATAATGGCACACACTGTTATAACAGAAGTGGTATTCATTACTACCTCAATTGATCTGAATAGGTTACATGTCTTCTGAATGTTTCTGATAATTCACTCGTGGTATGTCTAATTCACTTATACTGTGATGCTTATCCAAAAAAACTGTTGTCGCTAAAACAGGCCAGATAACGTCTATCTACACGGGATTCAGAATAGGTGGATGGCAAAGGAAGACTATGGAATAAGGATTCCCATTCCAGGTGCAAAGAATAATTGTGATTTATGTTGGTGGCAGCTCCTATATAACTGACTCCAGAAAAGTTCAGGGAAAGAACTGAGAAACATTATGTTTATTTATGATTCACATGAGACCCCCCCTCCTAATGACTTCAGTCATAGATCAGGTCCCATTCTACCAGATACTATATTGAACACAGAAAACAGACCGTGCCATAAACAGCCTAAAATCTCAGTATGAGATGAGACACTACAGGTGGATACAGACTGACATGGGAAGTAGATTGAGAAAATGCTGCAATAACTGAAAAGAATGGAGGAGGGAAAGTGAAATTTCCTGGCTGTTTCTAGCCAATTCCATCTGATGTAATAGTTACTATTTCATATAATAGTTTCCATTTTATTTATGGAAGCACGCGGTTCTAAGAACCACAGGTAAATTTTTAAGCTATTTTCATTGATATTTATAAAAAAAAATCCTTTATGAAAAGGAAAAAATAAATCTTACAAAATAAAAAGTACTTCACAGAGTCATATGCTCTTCCTCCCTTTGCTTCTTAGTAGATTACTGGTCTTTCAATAAAGTGCCTTCTACCCTAAAAAAAATATTTAAGGGCAACTATGCATGTATAGGTATACATTCAAGAGTTCATGTTCTGTCCACTGAGTTCTTTTGGTGCCACCTGCAGGCCAATTTGCATAGCAATTTAATTTTTTTTTTAATTAAAGCAGTTAAAACCAAGAAAGTAAAGAAAAATATATCTTACTGTATTTTACTTTTGGTGTCTAATAAAAAAAATATTTTTTGAAAATACGTAATGAGCTGTTAATTAGGTATTTCACAACAAAATTTGACTACCATCAACTTTAAATAGTGACACTGTGTTAGGACAGTAGCATAACTGAAGGGGGTGACCAGGGCAGGAGCCCCATGAACCACCTTAGAGACAAGAGAGGGTTCAAAAATAGCCAGCAACCCTAGTTGGCAGCTGGCTGTGCTCACACTGCCATCAGCATAACAGCCAGCACTGCCCTGTTCACCACCATTGCCCAGAGCAAAAGCTCTTTCTGGTTAGCTGGTTTCTTCTGCAGGCCATTTTATATAAGTAATCCTGGCCAATAAATACTGCTAAATAACTAATCCTATGAGTTCCCAAAATATTTTATGGGAAGACGTGGTCTATATCAGTAGTCACCAACCAGTTGATTGCAATTAACTGGTCGATTGCAGGCCTCTCATGGGCGATCTCAGTCTGGGGGGGGGCTGAGCACACACGCGTGTGTGCACACACTCAGCCCCTGAGACAGAGATACAGAGTGGCAGCTGCTTCAGAAGCGGCGCGATGCCATGTGCATCCCACCACTGGGGTGAGCCGTGTCCTCTGCCACTGGGGCCAGGCCAGGTGAGTGGGATGATCTTCCTCCATGCCCTGCCATGCCCTCTGTTGCCGGATGAGTGGGGCCTTGGCCAGGCTGGGTGGTGTGAGGATCAGAGCCTGGGAGGCTGGATGAGCCACCCAGGCTCCGGTCCTTCCACCACCTAGCCCAGCTGGGGCCCCACTTACACCTGCCCCTGCCTCTGCCTCGCACCATGGGGGCCTCGATCTGCCCCCCCCACCTCTTCCCTTCCCCACAGACTAACACACTGTGTGTTAATCTGGCCCTGCCTGTTAGCAATGCTTTCTTGGAGGAGAGGAAATAATCGTTATATAAAACACTTGCAATGTCTATACCATTAAGAATCGTAGCCTATTTTAAATGGTTTTCCTCAAGAAAATATATAAACAAGAGACCATATAGCCAACCATTTCAAAACAGTCTGGATTAAAACGATCAAAACTGTTCTGGATTATTTTGTGGTAACCTAACTATACAGCACAACAAGGACAGTTAGAGCCAAACAGCAAAGTAATACATAAGGCCAAACATGAGTCAGCCTTGACAAGTTTATAGTATATAAATGAGAGTAAGTAGCTACCCCAGTTCCAATAGCCTCATAATTAGATTAGTAAATAGTTCATAGATTCATAGATGCTAGGGTCGGAAGGGACCTCAATAGATCATCAAGTCCGACCCCCTGCATAGGCAGGAAAGAG